CTGCTAGACAGATCGGCCTTCAAACGAGGACAAAAAAATTAAAAAGTCTAGTCGCCACAATGTGATTCGCTGAGTGAAATTCGTTTCAGACGCTAGACGCGTTCGCATGGCGCGAATTTTCGCATCGGTGAATTTTCCATGGCCAGGTTTTACTAAGGAAATTTTGAGTTAGTTTTAGTTTTTAAGGGTACCGATTTATCTTCCTAGGTGCTTATCACGAACTTGAGATCAATTGATAATCTTCTTCTCTTTTTGCCTCTACGTAATACGAAAACGTAATCTAACTCTTTTTCAGTTCATGCTGTTGGACTCTGGAATTCCCTATCTATTATGATTAGAAAAGCGTAGTCACTATGAAGCTTTAAATACAAGTTAAAAGCCTTCAGGTATAATTATATTATTTAGTAAGATATTTTAATATACATATATTTAATATACATAAATGGCAATGGTTGTACTCACTTATGTGCATGGCTTACACATTTGATTAGGTAAATTGTGTTAATTATTAAGTTAAACTTTAAAAACATACTTAGTATTGTATAACTTATTATAGCTGTAGTGTTACCCTTACTATTATAATTCATTATTGTTAATCTCCATCTTCAAGGTTGCCTGGAAGAAAACGCGTTTTAGCGATAAGGTCGCCTTTCCTCGCTACATTTTGAATTTTTAAATTAAGTTTTATTTTGTAACATTGTGGTGAAAATAGAGTATTTTTTGTTTGAAGTTTCAAAAGCAGTAGATACTATTAAAAATGAGAGCTAGAGAAGTTCTTTTACGAAATCGCAACATCAATTTCTCCCCAAAGCTTAGTAAATGTGTTGTTTTGGCCTCAATGCATTAAGTGCACTCCAACCTCATTTTAGTCACACGAATACAGGGAAGTAAATCAAAGTTAGTAACGTTACATGGAACGCTATTGTATCAAAATTCTGCTATACCCGTATTTAACTATCCAATTAGTATTTGATTTCAGATTGCTAGTTTAACTTAGTATGGAATGCGGTTTTGGTATTTAGAGATGCTAATCATATTGTGGTACGGTTTTGTCCTAAATTAACAGAGATTTGGTATCAAAGGAATTGTTACTTTAGTAATACGACTGAAATCAATACATCCGGGTGTAAATAACTTATGCGCTGTCAAATGCAACATGCAAGCTGTTAGCGTTAAATAATATAAAATTAATGTTTTCATAATAATAATTTGGTTATTCGAAATGGCACACGTGGCTTTTTGAAAAGGACAACGCCTTATATAAAAATGGGATATGTTTTAATCAATAACTGATATAATATATCTTTACTTTCCTAATGTAGTATATAATATTAGACTTGAAGTCATAAAACCTATTAGAATATTGAAGAAGGTAAGAAGATAAATGCTGTAGAAACAGTAGCGCTTAGGCAAGATTACTTATTATAATTTTTCAGAAGCTTATATTTTATACTATCTGTAGTTTATGCGAGTAGAACACATTTAAATAAAACACTGTAACGGTTTAAAATTAATGATCGATATATTTTACTTAAACTTGTTTGAATATTATTTTTTTTACGGTCCGACGTTTCGAATGCTTTGCAGCAGAGCTTATATTATAGTCTTTTTTATCAACATTTTATGAGCGTAACTCATTCACCAAACTATATATCTCTGTAATTCAAAATAAAAATCAAATACTTTGTAATCATGCTTCTAGTATACTTGCGCTATATAAGTCAAACTTATCTCTGGCTTAAAAATACCTCCAGCCACTCTCTTCGAAAGCGGACAAAAAGCCATTAAAGCCCTGAATAATGCGAAGTCATGAAACATAATTCCTATTCTAAACCGAAAATCAATTGGAATCCTGAAATTCAGTCACGCTACGCCATAAAGCGTCGTATTTACATAGAGGCTCGCGGGCATTATTTCTGTGTCAGTCAGTTTGTTTGCACGTTCTGATGAATCACCTGCAGGGTACAAATAGCATACATAAGACATTTTAAATGGTTAAAACAATATAGTTTACTAGCTGTGTCCACAACTTTGTCTGCATAGTAAGTTTGGGCATCAAAAAGAGTTCATAAACTTCCTTTTTATAAAAGCTGTTACCCACAACTAATAGTGTGGCTGCTATTTCATTCCTTCATAAATATTTTTTGGGTATCTTGAGCATTTTTTTGCAGCGTACGCAACGTAAACCAACGGATGAATAATTTTCCCAATTTCACATTTTTTGCTACTATTAGTCGCAGCGTAGCCTTTAGCCTTTCTCGAAAGATTCTTTGACCAATACACAAACCATCTAATCCAGTAGCTCCTGAGATTAGCGCGTTCAAACAAACAAACTCTTCAGTTTTATATATTAGTATAGATTATTTTATGAACAATTCAGATATTTTTCATTCACTGCACCATTGATGCCTGTACTGTTTTTTAAAATGTAAATTCTAAATTGATTGTATGGCTCTTGAATATTCGAGTAAAACGTAAACAGACATGTTTTTGAAAGCAGTATAAAAGCTCTCCACCAAGATGCTTATAGCATTATAAGAACATTGAAAAGGGCACCAAGACTCAAGAACAAAGTATAATTGCGCTAAAATGAGAAAGGACTTAAAACAATGTATTCCGTGACTAATCGTTGCAACAAGCGAGACGCCACTAATGAAAAAGATAAGACTGCAGTCTAGAGTCTAGACGACGAATGAATAAGAGAACCCAAAAGTCGAAGCCTTTGTTAAATTTAAGATCTTTTTAGCGAACAAAAATAAATCGACATAGAAAAGTCGATACAGAGAACCTCAGGCTATTTAAATAAAACACTTTAAGGCTTAAAAACGCGATATATATTAGTTAAACTTATTTGAAAAATATTTTACCTACGGCCCGACGTTCCGGATGCTTTGCAGCAGTCGTGGTCACAAAAAAAAATTCAAATAAGTTTAACTAATATATATCGCGTTTAAAACCGTTAAAGTGTTTTATTTAAGTGTGTCATACTCGCGTAAACTACAAAGAGTATTTAACCTTTAGCTATATACTTAAACATTAATAAAATTGTGAGCTATTTAGTGTTAAGGAGCACTGGAAAATGGGAATAAAATTACTTCAAAATGCATTAACTATTTCATGTTTAACTGTGCTCTGCTTACAATACAGTCCTCGACTTACTCTATACTGTACTTACAAACGTTACATCGCTGTTTGATTTGTGGTGTTAATTTTAATTATTCAAACATATGAATTTTTTAATCTTAAACATTTTATTATAGTAAATATTTATATCTATACTAATATTTTGCTGAAGATTTGTTTATAATTTTACGGTTTAATCTTGGCTACTGGTTCGCATTTGATTATTTTGTAGTGGTTAGAGCATTTATCGAGGAAGGCTATTAGAGACTATAAAACATCGCGCTGTGACTGATACAACTGACGAAACAGTGTAAAACGTTCATTTTTGAGATTTCGCGTGCGCTGCGAAAACAGTTCAATATACCCAAAAAAATATGTAAGGTGTAATTATTAATTTAAAAACTATCTACAAAAATGTCCGTGACGATATATGTCTATATTTTAAGCATATCTTGCAAGATCGACATGTAGCGGTCGACATCGTGGATAACAGCTATAATAAATAAACATAAAGACGGTTGCAAAAACAGATTTTGATACGAATAAAACCACTAAAACTTACAATTGTGCAAATACAAACTTTTTGTATTTGCACAATTCGCAGATAACCCAAGAACAAATTCGCAGCTTCTTAGAGCTCGAGATTGGAAAATAAAACGCAACGGTACAAATACGACGACCTGTCGAAAGGTATACTATTACAGACACCTAACAAAGGGGACGAGGGAGCACGGGAAAAAGTATTGGATGGTTTTCGACGTAATATCCGAACCGTGCGGTTTTTTTGGAAACCGACTGCCTTTATACGTTCACTGCGGTGTTTACAATTTGACACTTCTTTGTCAGGGATAAAACTGTAGCTAAATTCGGTTTCCTGTTTTTATTTCTGATAACTATATCGACATTTACAGTATAAAATCTCTATATAACGACACTTAATGGGCTTGCATTTTATGGCGTTATAGAGAGTTATCATTACATGGAGAGAAATAAGAATTATAAAAAGTAAAAGATTATCTCACACTACTAATAGTGGTATACCGAAGTCAATTTGGGATGCTTTAGGGCGTTTTTAAGACTTTAGGATTGTACTTTTTTTATAATTATGGGTCTTATTGGTATAATAGTAGCAACGAGTAGTCTGCCTCGGTTCCACATGTGGTGTGTGGTTCAGCTTGTTTGTAAAACATTATCATTGGACCTCAAACTTCTACCTTAAGAAAATACCGTGAAAAGTAAATTCGCTTTTTAGTTTTATCCGTGTATTTCAGAACATGCAAACCCAAAATAGGTAGACAACTAGTCCTAATTATATGTTATATGTCCTCTCTGAAAAAATGCAATACAACCCCTTTTGATATGTTATAAAAGTAAGTATAAAAACTTTAGCACCATCCAAAATCGTTTTCCTAGCGTATTTTTCCTGTCAAAGAACATTATCTAAATAAGCCCTGGAAATCCCCAGTAACTCAAAACCAGCTCATTTGACGCTGACGGTTTAATTGGGTGTCTATAAATTATAGGGAGGGCATTCGTTCACTTCCAAATGCGACCCGAAAAAACTCCCGTTACAGTCGAATAAATGTGATTTTGCTCAAGGACAAAAGTCTCTTCGAAAATTATATCTTTTGGACATTTCCCTCGTCCCAAATTATAAATTAGATTCGTAATAATACCTTTTGTTACTTTTGTGTCTGCGCCCTTAAAATGCGACGTATTACTTTGAATAATTTTAGTTGAGATTTTGACAAGATAATTTTCACATTAAAGTATTGAAAATCTTGTTCTTAAAAAATCTAGATTATTAAATTGAAGCTTCACTAATCTGACATAGACATTTTAATTATATTTTTATAATATTTAATGATATTATATACCTTGTGCTGGCGCATAGATGTTCAAGTATAGGCAATCTTCAGATTGATTAGTCAGAAATGGGAGGATCCGTTTCAAATACTCCAATCGCCCCTTTGATATTCGCTTCAGCACAGCTGTTTCATTTCGTATATCAGGTAGCACTTGTGGGCATACAGGGCTGAACTCCTCAGCTATTTTAACACCAGACCACTGCGCTCCAGACACGGGGGGCATGAAACGGAGGGAACCCACAGGAGGCGACGCGTATGGGACACCTCGGAACACCTCAACCGGTTCTAGATACCTCGATTCTGGGCTGACTATAAAACCACGTATGTCACCGTACTTAGTCCGAACTACTCTGGAGCTTATTAGTGGTTGCGTTTTGTCGTCCATCGTATCTCCGTTTACTCGTGACGTCAGTGCGGGGAGAGTAATAAAGTGGACTATTATCAGTATTAGCATTTTGGTCTCCGCCAGCACTGAAGTTTTGCCCGATGCTATAAGTATACCATGTTGTTTTTCTTGGTTTTATCTAATGTCCCTGTAACAAAAATTTGGCTGGTTAGATATATTAATAACAGTACCTATAAATAAAACATTTTTAACGAATTAAAACGCCAAATACGATTAGACGGGCTCGTTGGCCTAATGGTTGCAATGTATGGCTAATGTTCAACGTCTTGGGTTCGATCCCCACCAGATCCAACACGCTGGACTCCGTCTGGAAATCTGTATGGTAAATGGGCGGTATGAATATAGAAATTCTGTAAGGGTCACGAACCAGCACAGTCCACAGATGAAAAAGCCGTAAAGCTTAATAGCGTTTCGGTTTCAGTCTGTGGAATTCCGAATATCCGAAGCCAAAAATAGGTCGACAGTGCATCTCGTTTAGATGCACTGTGGTATCACCATCAAGTGATCCCCATGATAAGTCTGTCCACCTCTATCATTAAAAAAATATATAGCTGAGTTTTTAGCAACCATATTCGTATCAACAAAAAATCGACGTTTTAATTAGTTTACGCAGTAAAACTTCGCGTTTTAAACAGTCAAATGGTCTATTTTGGGTAGGATTTCATAACAGCATTATTTGTGTTGTATAGAAACTTGTCTCTAAAATTGAGTATCAAATATTGAGATTGTTGAATTATTAACAATGTAAAGACCAAAAAGTAATACTTTAATGACCTAATATAAAAAAAGTAATTATTAGGGAGTCTAATATTACTATCACAAAGTCAAAAGTACTCCATCCAAATACAAAAGCTTAAGTCGTTCGAATATAAAGATTCGCTAAGTATTGGCAAAAAGCCTTCAAATCAGTGGCCCATTAAAACATTAAAGAGCTGACAGAAGTAGCTCGGTCACTAAGGGTAGCCTTTTAAGCGTCGGCTGCGCTTGAAGGGTGCATGATAAATGACGCGTTACACTGCATTATCATAGCTTGGCCAATGAGGCGTGAATTTTGTGCAAAATAGCTCAGATGCTGCAGACAACTTTGCATTCGCTGAATATTTGTTTTCAACGCTGAAACATTGTTTCGGAAATAAAACGTGTAATTTATACGTGCATCACTGCTGCATAAAACATTTTAACTGACCTTATAAATATAATGAGGAACAAATTCTATACTGCCTGTGTCTGTAGTTTACGCGAGTAGTAAACATTTAAATAAAACATTTTCAAACGCGAAATGTAGGTATTAGTTTACAATTTATTTTAACTACGACTCTACGGCATTTAGAGTGCTTTGCAGCTGCCGTGGTCACGGGGAGGACTGAATATCAAGGGTGTCTCTTATGTCAAAGTCAAAAATCTGTTACGCCAGCGCCATCTGTTTCCTCGTAGTATTTGGAGAAACTAGCTGATTTCTTAGAGAATTGACTCAGGCCGATTGACGTTTGAAATTAAAGCTCTATTAAAAAATAACCCGATATGAGGCGTTTAAAATTACGACTATGCAATGCAAAGATATCATATTTGTTTTTGATTGCATATGACAATATATGTACGTAAGAAATCAAAATAAATAGTCGTTTAATTTGACTAACTCCGATTGCAAATCTGTAGATTATATATTTCTTTGTTTATCAAAAAAGTGCATAGAATGCAGTGGTATTTTATTCATTCGTCAATTATAAATAAGCCCTCCAATTTTCACGATAGCAGCACGGGCGAGTATGCAAAATCGAGAGATATATATTGAAAAATGCCACCAAAGCGTACTATTAAAAATATAACTATTATTTTTAAACGGGAAAACAGCTTGCTCACAAAATGGGACGTAAAATAAACTTTGAACGTCACCGAAGCGGATCAACCTAACGATAATGATCCACTAGACACCATTAATGTCCCCATTTAGCTCAGTTTTGGCTAACCGGTCAATAAATGGTCAAGAGCGAGTCGGGACAATTGATTAGAGTCGCGTGAACTTTTTTTATTAATGAATAAGTAAAATATATTTTAATGAAGCCCGTAAGAAAAGTATATACATAACTACAAAAAACCTTCACAAGGCTACTTTTTTTTAAATTCTATTAGTTATTTATATAACCCTTATGGGTTCCTTAGCTCAATAGTTAAACGAATTGTGCTAGCATTGCTAAAGGTCCTGGGTTCAAATGTTCTAATAATGTTTCAGAATGTTTATGAACGGCACTGAAGCACAAGTTGAGCAAAATTAAGTTTTTGTTTTTTTTAGATGCTGCAAAAAACAGAGTTTAATGAGATATGAATAAATTTTCTGTTAAAAAAAAAGACAAATCATCACAAAAAATGCCATTTTTCTCAAGTCATTTACGTACTTACTCCGTAGCTCGTCCTTCGTAGATCATTCTACGTTAGCTGAAGTTATGTACACACAGAGTCTAACAAAGATTGTTTTTTTTATAATTATTGTTTTTTCATATGGAACCCTAATAAAAATCTAACCGCAAGTTAAACCTGATTCAATCCTGGTAGATAAGACGCATTGTGCTACATCGACGTCGCGAGTTATTGGCGCAATAAATTTGACTCAGATAAACATACAAGTCGCCGTAAAATGTCGTTACTAGGGAATTGCGTTGTTCTTGAATAGCGAGCGAAGCCGAGATACGGTTTCGTGAATATTTATGCTGTAACGAATAATGAGATGTGGGCTTAACGTGATTATCTGTGGAACCGCATTCAAAGAAATTCAAATATCGAATAATCCTCATTATCGCATTTCGGAAAATGTCAATTGTCAAATGTCTATGTTACAGATAAACGTAAGGCGGTAGTAAAATATGGGCTTAATAATAAAAATACATTAGTTATTACTAAACTTATTACTTCTTATGTTTTATTGTAACATCTGCACCACCCATTTTTCTCTAATTGTAATTTTGAACATGTCGTACATGTGTAAACTATCTCTGTGGCTGAGTAATTGAACGCATAGAGAGCCTGAAGAGAGAAGAATGATTGCCTGTGATCAGGCCAGTAATACGGGCCAAAAATTATGTCTATCCCTTTCCTAAATGTAACTTTGTTAATATGTGAGTTACTAACACAAAAAGCCCAAACAAGCAGTATAAGGCTTCGGATATCATGATATAGCGTGTTACGCTCCAAAAATTATGTTACATTAAAAACTGCCATAAATAAAAACTTCCCAACTCAAATAAAAGTATGGAGAGATCATAAAAGCGAAGTTATGAATAACGACGTAATAGTTGAAATGCAACGTAGATCGAAAAGTTCGTATCATTATCATCACAAGTTCGTGATCGTTTGAATTTCGAATTAGAAAGCTACTCAATGTAAATAAATTAACTTAAACGACCCTTACGTTCTTGTAAAACTTTCACATTATTTCTTTCGAAGGATTTCATTCTTGCTTGCCTGGCAAGTTTTTTGGCAGAACTATGAACTTAAATAAATTCGCCATTATTGAAGTTCGGAGCTTGCTTGTCGCAACAATACATTCCTTTAGTCTGAACACTAAAAGTTTGGGTAGTTACTGAAAGCATTTTTTGCACAAATGATCCACAAAGAAATGAAAACGGAAGAATAGAACTTTTCATTATAATCTTCTCGTGCTAGTACATAATAGAGTTTATATTTTTCTTTATATTATTATTTGAAGGACATTAACTTCGTAATCATTTTAAAAAATTTTTTCTTAAACTGGTAAGGGTGATAAAGTTGTATGAACAACATTCAACCTTACTGAATGTTCTATATTAATATTATGCTAGTATTTAACAGTTTAAAAGTGATTAATTTATACAATAAACGTGAAAAAGCACACAGAATGGTAAAGGTAAAAATTTCTCAGTACTGATTTTGAGAACATGAACTTTGAGCAACGTAAGCATCAAACTACTACAAAGCAAAACGAGGCAGTTAAATTGCGTAAAAATACCCCTTTTATTTAAAGATTAATGCAACTAGAGGAAGTTCTTTGTAAGCAATGTAGCGGCAAGTATTATGCGCTGTTTGAAAAAGCACTTTGCCACCTCCTTATTTTTTACATAAAATTGTAAGTTTTTACTTAGAAAATCTTCTTACTTCTGCGCTGTTGGAACTATATGTAAAAATTTTATAACATTAAAATCAATGTTTGCGTTCTAGTGTATACAACACAGTGTGTGATAATAATGTTAATTAACTTAAACAATACATGCTTCAGTCTCTCTTTAGTCCCAATGAAGCCAGAATGTCGCCTAATTAAAAAGCTATTTTTATTTCAAAGAGGTCGAACACTTAATTAATTCTACAGAAGATTTTCAAGTAGTAGGTACGTGTATTGTATATTTTGTGAGGGGTCTTCTTGTTTAAATAAAGACTAAATTTGGACAACATAGTCTGTGTTGAAAGTGAAAGAACATTTGTTTTTGTTTAACGAGGTTATGTTATCTACCATAATGTATGCCTTATATGAAGCTGCTAAAGCCAGAGTTGCCTAATAAGCGAATAATACTTTTTAATAAGGAGAATAATATGCGCAATCAACGTAGGCGATAATGAGTTTGTACTATTGGTCACTGTGCTCTTGTAGATTAACATTTTAGACTATAAAATTAAAAATAAGGCAGGTCATAAAATTGCAGTTAGGCTACTCTGCGTCTAGCGGCCTCATACCTTAAAAGCATGTCAAAAATGAGGGTTCAATTGCAAGTCAGAGACAAAAACTCTAGTTTTATTTTTCGCCATCGAATGTAACCCAAGCTTCATCCAATTAACAAACTTCATTTTCCGAAATACAATTCGTTTGTATATTTTCAGATAAAAGGTCTATAAAGTAAGGTTTCCGTCGTAAAGTCTTTGATGGGAAACGCTTTCATTTAAAGTTACGTCTCCGAATATAGGCATATCAAATCAAATCTTTATTGCTTCTCGGAGGACATATTTCAGTTATTTTCTTCCTCTCGACTGGGTAAATAAGTTTTGCAATATTTAAGAGATCAATTTTACGCCAAACTAAATTACAA